CTCTTTTTGTAGTGGTGTGATGAAGTGTTCACATAATTTCAGTTTAAGCCACACAGTCACGAGGACTTACATTTTGTATCTTTTGGAACTGCAATTCTGCAACATATTTTTTTATCTGCCACATAAAATTACATCAAAAGTGAAGGATATCAAAATGCAACAACATGATTTCTTGAATAGCTTACAATACTTCAAAAAATTCAGAGAAAATTCAAAATTCAAGCCTAAACTCATTGCCTTTCATTTTGCATATGCATGCTCTGCCTTGCTTCAGTACTAGCATGTCTGGCCATCTGACTAACTTGATTAACTTGGCAAATATATGCCATAAAGGCTGATAGTTTCGAAAGAAACTGTTTGGGGCTGCGTCGGTAGGAGTAACGAAATAGTTTGGATATATCAACAAAGTTGAAGTGGTAAATTGGCCACCGTAACGATTACAAAAGCTGACGTTTCGAGCGTTAGCCCTTCGCAGTGATGACTCTGATTTCCACCACAAATCAGAGTCAATGTGCCAGTTTTTCGATAAACGTGGTTACCCTGTTTCTGTCGTTCAAGCGGGTTACCACCGCACCCAACTTATGATCGACATTCAGCACTACAAACGTCGCATAAGGAAGATTCCGACCGCATTCCATTCACTCTCAGTTAAATCCATCATTCTTAAAAACTTTAAATTACTTTAAAACGATCCAGAGACAAGCACTATCTTTTCGCAGCCTCCGCTCGTTTCATTCAAACGCGACAAAAACATAGGCAATTTTTTGGTCAGAAGTTCTTTTCAGACTAATGACCAACCAAGCACTTTTAAATGCGCTCGTGCACGATGCAAAACCACANGAAGCGATGCAATTTTCTCTGAATGGCAAGTTTCTCTTTAGATAAAGGTTTTGAATAACTTCCACAGTAAGAAGAAAACTGAAGAGGAAATCTATCAGTTAAAAAAAAGAATTTTATTCATAAATGAATTGATTAATTTTGGATCACCTTTTACATGTCAATTTGTTTGCAGCTGTTGAACTTTTATCATTAAAAGTTTTGCTATGTAAATTTAGAGAACAGGCCTGGAGTTATCTTGGGAGATACCTAAAACGATCACGAGAGATTAAATTAATGAAGGCATTTTGGTGGAAATAATGCTACAAGCAAACCTATTTGGAGATGAGGGAAAACAAACTGAAAATCTCGAAGACCCGCTTTGCATAATAAGATGGACGGATAAGCTGATTAACCAACAATTTATATTTTTCTCAGCGTTTACCATCTTTCTGTCTATTATTGCGTTCCTTGGAAATGCCCTGATTCTAATTGCACTTCACAAGGAATCTTTCCTTCATCCGCCATCCAAACTCTTGTATCGTTGTCTTGCAGCAACTGATCTCTGTAGGGGACTCATTGTTGGGCCTTTTCACGTTGCTTTTTTTCTGTTTGTGGTTCACGAAGACTGTGAACCAGCCTATACCCTGTCAGCAGTCTCTCTCTTCACAATAACCACAATTAGTGTGGACAGACTTCTCGCCCTTTTCTTGGGGCTGAGATACAAACAAGTTGTGACTTTGAAGCGAACCTATTTGCTTCTTATCATCTTTTGGATGGTTGGGATCTCTGCGGGGGCATCGCACTTTATGAATCGCCGTATAGCTGCCTGGTGTAGCTTTATTGTTGTACCAATTTGTCTGATAACAGCTTCGTTCTCGTACTTAAAAATTTTCCATCGTCTCCACCACGGCCAAAGGTCTGTTCCATCACAGGAACAGCCGAGCCAACCAGTTCCACTGAACCTGGCGCGATACAGAAAGGCAGTGTACAGTGCACTGTGGGTGCAGTTAGCAATGTTCATTTGTTATCTACCATACATCATAGTCGTAGCAGTCCTGGATAGAGGAAGGCAGCCATCTAACTCTGAATTTGTTGTATTTGGATGTGCTGAGACCTTAGTATTCTTAAACTCTTCTTTGAACATATTTCTTTATTGTTGGAAGATTAGAGAAGTGAGGCAAGCAGTAAAGGAGTCTATTAGACAAGCACTTTGCTGTCCATGGAATGGAATGGATCTTTTGGGCAAGTTCGGACAGTGCTACCGTTAAAAGCAAGAGAAAAAGCTATAAATTGTTCTAAGAATATACTTGTGTTCAGAGCAAAACGTGTAAAATCCTTGTATACGTACAAGACGTATCACCCGAAAGGGTCCTGCTGTATTCGGTGAAACAACCATGTAAATGCAAATTTAGAAAAACCTATGAGAGAGGTTGTGCATAAGAAATAACTCTGTTAATTGTCGCTTTTTTGTTTCTCTGATTGAAACTAGTGAAAGGGTCTTTTTTAAGACACCTATTTACAGATCTTCCCTATTGCCGAAAAAAACGGGATTAAGTTCCTTTTGAAGTTTCCTGATTTTTTTTTCTTTTTTTTCTTTTTTGCGATCTCCTTTCTTATACTAGTAATTAAGTAATTGGTAAAGTAATTGGTAACTTAAGTAATTGGTTTTTCCGTTGATACACTTAATACGTTACACTAGAGACGCAGGATATTTCAAAATCAACTGGTATGAGACAATCATTTAATAAACAGGAAGAATTACATGGAGGAAAACATTCATGGGATAAGTAAACATAGGAATATTTTTCAATAATCTGTTATTTATGCTTGAGTTTCGTTAAAAAAAAACTTCACGCTCTTTCAATATGAAGATTAATCGGCCCAAATCTTTACCTCAAAAAGCTTTTTGTTTTGATATACAGGAAGATGTAAGGTGAAATAAATGTATCTCATTAGACGTTTTGTTGTGTAGTATCGCTGAGTATTTTTACGAGTTGAGCCGTGTTTTGACGAACCCTTAGGGCGAGTCAAAATACAAATAACGAATGACAATACATATATCTTATTAGACGTTTTGTTATGTAGTATCGCTGAGTATTTTTACGAGTTGTGTCGTATTTTAGTGTCGTATTTTGCTCCAAAAACAGCTACACGTAGTGGTTTACGCTCAGCGTCCAAACCCAATATATCAGCGATCTCCTCCTTTAGGTAGGACGATCCAGAACCACCATCAAGAAGGGCGTTTGCTCTGACCTTTATTCCATTTTTACCTTCCAGAATTACGGGTATCATCTGCAGGGCTACTCTTCCGGGGCATGGTACGCTTTCTTCAGTCACTCCACAGGTCGTATGATTAGTTTGCGTACCGGTTGCTGACGTTTCTCCTGCAGCTGCTTGCGGGGGATGGAATGCCTCAGCCGTTGGATTTAACTGTGCCGGGGCTATGACTGCATGAAGTTGTGGGTGGTGTCTTCGCAAACATCCTTACACTGGACACGTTCCTTTCAGCGAGCAACGTTCAATTCGATGTCCTCTTTTGAGGCAATGAAAGCACAGACCCAACTTTTTTGCTAATTCCCATCGTTCATTTACAGCTAACTTCTTCCAAGTCTCACATGATGTCAGCACATGTTCTTCCTTGCACACAAAACATTCCACTTTCGCTCCTGAATTTGCATGAGTGTCATTCCACACATCCCACAACTTATTGATCGACATTCAGCACTACAAACGTCGCATAAGGAAGATTCCGACCGCATTCCATTCACTCTCACGTTTCACCCTCACAACCACTCAGTTAAATCCATCATTCTTAAAAACTTTAAATTACTTCAAAACGATCCAGAGACAAGCACTATCTTTTCGCAGCCTCCGCTCATTTCATTCAAACGCGACAAAAACATAGGCAATTTTTTGGTCAGAAGTTCTTTTCAGACTAATGACCAACCAGGCACTTTTAAATGCGCTCGTGCACGATGCAAAACGTGTCCTTTCATTCACGACACTGATAAAATATCGGGACCTAAACGATCCAACTCTATTGAATACTCGTCCCCTCTATTAACAGTAAATTAATTATTATTAAAATACTGTGGTCAGAGAGAGAAGTAAATTCGATGTGTCGCCTGAAAACGAAGTGACACGAGCGGCCGCATACATGACACTGTCTCAAGCCGCTGCACAACTAGTCTTCCCACTGCATGGCGAGACGCCCGCGACATTGACGTGAAACTGAGGTGCATCAAGTGCGCACGATGGAGTCAGAAGTGATTGTTCTTTGATTGTGAAATTTAGTGGAGTGAAACTTTTTGAAAGCAGAGCAATCATAACGATGGCGTGTTCGAGCGTGTCCACTGCGGCAAGCAGCGAAGAGGAGAAGAAAGAACAGAGGCTTATTGATGTCATGTTTCTCTGTGACGAGTGGAAGTCTTCGAAGGGTGGATTATCAACTTTCAATCGAGAATTTGCTATTAAATTGGCGGAAACGACAACTGGTAGCATGGAAATCCACTGCTACGTTTCGAAAAGCGACAATCGAGACAGAGAAGATGCAAAACAACATGCTGTGAATTTAATCACCGCTGAGACTGTTCCTGGATCGCTTGATCCCTTGGATTGGTTAAAAGTTCCACCTCCCGAGCTTCAGCATCCGCATGTTGTCATCGGTCACGGCAGAAAACTTGGAACTCCAGCGTGCCACATCGTACGAGCTGTAAAATGTAAATGGATTCAATTTGTCCACGTCTTCTGCGAAGACGTTGGGAAGTTCAAAGATACAACTGCCACGGCTGTTACAGATAGGATAGAAGAGAACGAGGTGAAGCGTAAGATGGAAATTGAGTTGTGTAAAGCAGCGGATGCAGTTGTTGCTGTTGGCTGCCGTTTGCAACAGAAGTACAGCAGAAGTCTACCAAAGGTGGAAGTGAAAATCATAACCCCTGGAATTGTGGAAAAGTTTTGCAACGAATCGATAGAATCAGGAGATCATACTGTGTATTATCAAGGTCGTTGAAAGCCTTAAAGAACCAGAAGAATTTCAATGTCTTCATGTTTGGCCGAGCAACCTACAAGTATGAAGACCTTAAATTAAAGGGTTAGGATATAGTCGCAAATGCTATAGGTTCCCTTAGAGGGAAATTTGAGCTAACTTTTGTTGGCTGTCTTCCTGGTGAACACAGAAACGTAGAGTAATGGTTTCTCCAGAAGACATGCATCAAACGCAAGCAGATAACCATTTGTGATTATTGCACTGAACAGGATGAACTGAAAGGAATGTTTCACGAATCAGATCTGGTTGCCATTCCTTCATGCACTGAAGGATTTGGGTTAGTGGCTCTGGAGGCCATCTCTTCTGGTGTTCCTGTTCTTGTTTCTGGCGAATCTGGAGTAGCTGAGGCTTTGCAGGAGGTAGAAGGTGGAAATTCTGTTATTGTAGAATCAGATGATGATGATGTTGAATGGGCACGAAGGATTAGTGAGGTGTCCAGCCAAAGTCCAGATGAGAGAGATACCAAAGCCAGGCAGCTCAGAGAGAACTACAGGAAGGTTTATTCTTGGAGAAAGGAATGTGAGACGTTCAAAGGTCTGGTTGAAAATGTTGTGAAAACTGCAGATGGTGAGCTTGCTTCATTTAATTTTGCTTTTTGTTCAGTGTGCACTATGTGTACATAACTAAATTTTAGATAGAATGCAGTCAACTAGATTGTGGGAGTTATTTCTGCAAATGTTTTGATATGGATAAACCAGCAGTAATAGTCCTTTTTCAGTCACTATACACTTTTTCCCACTTCCTTCTGTCATTGCAGATATAGGTAAACTTTGACACACTAAAAAAACTTTGAGTACAGGTTACTATTCAACTGGAAGATTACTGTGCAATTTCAGGTTTTGGGCAAAGAAACACTGGTTTAGCAGCCCTATAATATTGAGGACCTGTATGCAGACTATCATGCAGTATGTGTGAAGTTTAACTTGATACTAATTGTTTTAAGTGTATTTGAAGTACGATTTTTAACATAGACACTTTGCTCCACATCAGCAGATGGAAAATCAAATGTTAAGGTTGATGTGGAACACGTGAAACTTGCAGATCATGATTCTTCTAGTACGCCTTCAGTTTCCACAATGGAGCCAGCAGGATGTCAGAAGGCATCCACACCTCCAGGCACAAACAGCAGAAAAAGACAATCTGATACAGATTTAGGAGATCTTCAACCACTTAAGGAGAAAATCCTATGCCGAATTGCTATGAATTACCTTGATACTACACCACCACAATCCAGTGAAGAGCATAACAAGTTTATGGAATACTTAAAAAAAATGAGAGTTGTCATCACAGGTGTTTCTGTAGGAAGTTTGGTGATAACAGTTAAGTGTGATTCTCTCAAGAGCTTGGAGGAATTATGGGAAGATTACTCATGCAGCCTTTTGAATAAGATGGTGCAAGATTGTTTTGTGACTGTAAAGATCTTGAAGGAACTGAACCTGACAGAACTGAAGCTAAAAACAACAATGGACACAGAAGAGTACAATGCATGCAAAGTGTACTTTGGGAAGGATGCAATTAGAGGTCAGTAAAAAGAAAGGAACAAGGCTGGGTCCTTTGAAAAAATGTTTTAAAAAGATTGCAAACACAATCCATCAATCTTTCAACACAGTGTAGCGTTGGACACACATGAAGGGAGGGGTGCAGCTTAGGGTTACGGTTAGCTTACCTTAATTTGGAAATAAATTAGAGTAGACTGAAAATTTAAACTAGTAAGATATTTTTTGGAGGAGTTATGAAAGAAGTGTGGCCAGTTTTTGCTTGTGGCGGTTTCGAGTTCATTGTCTGGGATTACAGAGACTAGTTCATCATTAAGGTTTTTCGCTTCGATGAGATATTCTTGTAGATTGTTTAAATAGCCACGAATAATAGCTTTCCGTCCATCTTGCTCAACGGTTAATTCTAATTTCCTCAGAGTGTTAGTTATTCTTCTTTTGATCGCAGCACGTTTGTTTTTTAAACTCATAACTTTCGTACGTACTGTTTGGGTTGTGTTAGTTGAATCCAAAGTGCGTCCGTCATCGCCGATCGCTTCGGTCGAATCCATACCAAATTCCACACCACTTCTTCGATTCGCTCGTTCTATCCGGCTTTTAAGGACCAGCAAATGTTGTTTTTATTCTACCACATTTTCCAAATTGCTAACTCATCGTTACAAATTCAACAGTAACTTAAAACTAAAATGTTTCTTATTGCCGAAACTTTAACTCAAGACCATGTGCTCACATCCGGGGCCTGAAGCTTTTCACTTCGCAATTCGTATAATGACAAATTAATTTGATGGCCTGCTCCCAGTTGGCTTGTTAGCTCAACTGGTAGAGCGCTGCACTAGTATCGCAGAGGTCAGTGGTTCGAATCCCGTACAGGCCTGAAATTTTTTTCAGGTCTGATTTTCACTATTGCTCAAATAGTGCTTTACTGCGAAGGATCGTTCTCATATACGTCTCATAACCGCAGTTCACACATATGTTTCATATGTTTGTTGTTGTTTGATTTATCATCTACGGGTTTATATCGAATTAATTTGATGGCCTGCTCCCAGTTGGCTTGTTAGCTCAATTGGTAGAGCGCTGCACTAGTATCGCAGAGGTCAGTGGTTCGAATCCCGTACAGGCCTGAAATTTTTTTCAGGTCTGATTTTCACTATTGCTCAAATAGTGCTTTACTGCGAAGGATCGTTCTCATATACGTCTCATAACCGCAGTTCACACATATGTTTCATATGTTTGTTGTTGTTTGATTTATCATCTACGGGTTTATGTCGAATTAATTTGATGGCCTGCTCCCAGTTGGCTTGTTAGCTCAATTGGTAGAGCGCTGCACTAGTATCGCAGAGGTCAGTGGTTCGAATCCCGTACAGGCCTGAAATTTTTTTCAGGTCTGATTTTCACTATTGCTCAAATAGTGCTTTACTGCGAAGGATCGTTCTCATATACGTCTCATAACCGCAGTTCACACATATGTTTCATATGTTTGTTGTTGTTTGATTTATCATCTACGGGTTTATATCGAATTAATTTGATGGCCTGCTCCCAGTTGGCTTGTTAGCTCAATTGGTAGAGCGCTGCACTAGTATCGCAGAGGTCAGTGGTTCGAATCCCGTACAGGCCTGAAATTTNTCCTTTGGCTGCAGCTCTAACTTTCGCCTGCTCCACCTAACAGCCATTTTCGGAGGCAACTTTGTAACAATCTGCTGCAAATTAGCTGCTGCTCGTAAATCTGCTTCATCACCATAAGTCTTCAGTGATCTCACAATGGTGTGCAAGTTGTCAACAAACAATCTCAAACTTGACGTGTTTTCATCTTGAACTGCTGGTATCTCCACAAACTTATTGATCAGAGACTTTGAAATAAGGGCGGGGTTTCCAAATCGTTGAGTTAACTCTGCAATGGCCTTTTCATACATTGTACCATCAAAAAACATCCCAGCTATAGCTTTTTCAGCGGTTCCTTTAACTGATCCTTTGAGATAGATCATTTTCTGTGCTTTGGAAAGCGGTTGATCATGCACTAAAGCTTTAAACATGCCATACCAGTTTGGCCACGCACAAGGATCTCCATCAAATGCTGGTAAGTTAAGTTTAGGGTGTGAAGTCATCATTGCTGACTTTGAAAAGACAGACTGTGAGAAATCAACATTTCTTTCTTTGCCAAGTAAATGCTTAGAAATGTCATTCTCTTTCTCTTCATCCGTTTCCTCTTTATTAGGGCTCACTGTTTTCAACCATTTCTTAACTTTCTCTTTGGAGTCCTTAATATCACTCATGGGTACATCTTTTTGCTTAACCTGGGGCGTTGTCTCAATCTTTACATTATCCCCTCCCACTGAGTTATCCTCAAAATCTTTCATGCGATCAGATAAACTATATTCATCAAACTCGTCTTTTAACAGTAATGCCTCAATTTCCTTCCTACCTGCCTCGTGTTCAGCTTCCTGAATTACTAGGTCTGCTTCAAACTGAGCTTTCTGTGTTGCAATCTTAGCTTCCAGTTGAGCTTTCTCTTTAAGTTGCTTTACTTTCAGTTTAGCTAAATCAGCTTCCCTAGCCGCTGCTCTTGCACGTTCTCGGGACACAGAAGAGGTCGCTTTGCTGCTACTTTTCTTGCTTTTGCGACCCACGCTGGTGATTGAACAGTTTTCGGTTTGTTCCGTCCGAATTTTAGCGGCTTCTGGCTCGATGTGAACTTTTGAGACCGTTTCACTGGTGTGAGTTTTGAATTCACCATACTCAACAGTTCTGCAAATTAGTTCCTCTACAAGTGCTTGGGACTTCAATAACCATGTATCTGCTTCTTGCAGTTCCTCATCATTACCACACAAGGCTTGAAATTCTCCATAATTCTCGATCAATTGATCCCATGCTCGATTTAGTTGAGTACATGCAAGTTCAATTAACTTACGGTCTTTTTGTTCCTTGAGGTACTCCCTTATGATATTCATCTTCCGTGTCAAATTCCCTCGCATCGATTTTCTTCTGTTCTTGATTGTCTGGAGTTTGTTTTGACCGGGGACTTCGGTGTAATCGCTCAAATACTGCGGCAGGTTCCTTTCACGTGTCACAATTTCGCTACGCTCGTCCATATCTGACACTTCCATATGTGATTTCGCCGATTTCTCCCCCATGCTTCGATTCTACGTAGGTATAATCCAAACGCCAATGTAATTCTATTGTATCCGGCGCTCGAAGGACCACTATGGAGATTCCTAGGCGTGGGAAATCCTTCTCTAAGTCCCGGTTTAAAAACACACTTCAGACAGTATTAATTCCATGTGCTCACCTTTAATCTCAATTCCAGTCCCCCACATGGGGTGGCGCCTGGCGCTTACAAAAACAACAAAAAAAATAAGAAATCGCGTGCCCATTATGACTTCTTGAATGTCGTGTTAAATGTCGGGTGAATTAACTCGTATCGCTAATTCAATATAAACTCCTCTAAAAGTCGGTGTGGGAGCGCCTTTAATTTAAAACGTTTCTAGCTCTTAACATTTCGTTCGAAGAAAAAATAGTTTTCCATCCATAAGAAAGGTTGGACAGCAAGTAAGTTTGAAATAAGTTAGCAGTTATTAGTTTTCCTCTAACATATGGTTGATGCGTTATACTGCAAATCAAAACGGTCGTTATTGTTCTCTCAACATACATGGACATTAATTAAAATTAAAATCGAGCCCGGCCCAAATGATCTTGCCATGGAAACATCTGGTTTAGAGAAAAGAGCGTTTCATTTATATTCTTTTGAGGAATCTATATCAGTTATCCCTTAATTCAGTTTAAGATGTAGTCTAAAAGAAGTTTCAAGTTCTTGTAGGTAAGAACTCAGCCAGAACTTTTTATTGCGCAGGAAAGTGTAACGCTCGTTTATCACTGAGCTTATGTGGCAATTGTTGCCTCACTAGATGGCGTTGTGTCTTAAAGAGACTTTACTTAGGTAACCAAAACTTAGTCATATTTGTGAGGTCAACAGTTTTACTAGTTAGTAAATAAAAGATATTATAATCTCGTGGTTAGTAAAAAAGTTGTAATTTTTTTCTTTACTATATCAGAAAATAAAGGAAGACTTTTGTCAGCGAGTCCTCAACGAGCTGAGAACTCAAATTTTTTCTTAGCTCTCTAAGGAGAGGGAACCCGGTTTTTCGTGCAAGCTAATCTCCGATTCTGTTCAGCCAAATCATCTTAATAGTACAGTATTTCAAATTTATTGTAAAGTTTTGGTATTTTCCTTTTTCCTTTTAATAATTGTGAAACAGATCAACAAATGATTGCAGTTGTTTTACAAAGTGCTTGAAAATGGAGTTTTTATAGGTCCAACACATTTCAATTTAACTAAAAACTCCCCCTGCTTTCCTGCGAAAGAATTATAATAATGAACAATCACATAAGGTCTCTCGAGTGTACATACAGCTGTCTCAAAAAAAAAACATTCTTCAAAGCACAGAGTGGGCACAAAATTTACCACTTCCGTCACAAGTCGTGTCTGATCTGCAGGCGTTCATTCAGACTTGTGTGATATCTACCGTTCGGCATAATTACAGAGATTCTGTCTAAGGGGGACTTAATCCTTCTTAATTTCTTATCAACGATTAGGCAGAGGCTTGATGTACTTAAACTCTTCGTTGATGTCATTTCTTAACCGTTGGAAGATTAGTAAAGTGACACAAGCAATAAAGGAAGCAATCAGAAAGCCCTTTCCTGTCCATAGACTCGGTTGTAACTTTTCTGATGGTGTTATCCTATGCAAAGCAGGCTAATAAAGGATGAAGCTGTTAGTAGCTTTAAAGTTGGATTCGTTCGATTATAGCTAATTATGCGCTTTATCAATTGCTAAAACACATTCAAGGGCGATGGAGAGAGGAGCAGAATTTTGGAAGTAAAACCGCCGATCGTTCGATGAATAATATGGATAAATATGCTCAAATTAAATAGTGCATAACGATGTTGTGTTTTCATTGAACGGAGCCGTTGCGTTGCTGTCAAACGACTGAATGAATTTAGACGGATCAAATAACTGAAAAGGGCTGTGCTTAAGAAAACTTTTCTCATCGTTAATAGCCTGGTTGTGTGCATTGATATAATTTTGTTAAAAAAAAGATAAAGTTTTTTTGAGAACTTCGCTACCACAAATATAATGAAATAGAGTCACTGTGAAGTCTTGATAGTGAAGTCTGTGAAGTTTTCTTTTCAGTTGCTTTAATTTGTAATTGAGGTTTTTGTTGTTCTGAAAACTTTCGGCTTAAGAGATACCGGTAAATGAAAACAATTCGCTTTAACTGTTATGAGGTTGACTATTTCAGTTAATTAAAATACACGTCCTCTCCGCAAATCTTAGGAATATTGTGGTCGGTGAGGAAAAGCCTTCGGTTTAAAACTTCTGCTATTCTCATCGTTTTTTCCTGGGAAAGAAATTATTTTGCCAGAGAATGAAGTGAGCAACAATGTCTGTGCTAAACACAACTTTTCTTTTAGCAGTTTTCCTTGTATGAATATCTGTCAGATGAGAAACATATTTCAAGTTACTTTCGAGCTAAATACCCTCGCCATTCGAACGTCTGACAGTGAGATAAATTCTGAATTATGCATGATTGTATTCGTTAATAGTTTTGCAGGATTCTCGACATTATAAAGCAAGCCGGTCTACATAACAGAGAATTGGCCCAAGCAGGTGTGCAAGAGATGCGAACGACGGCACACATGGAAATCAGGCCCGATATTCATTATGCAGAAAGCCACCAACGCGAAAACGGCATATAACGTCTTCCTTTATTAACGGAATCGTCCGGAATCCCATAATTCTTCCCTTTTTCACCAATTAAATTAGTCAGTTAGAACAACATCTGAGTCCATATGTTACAGAGTGACTAAAGTATCATGATCACTCGCACAAAATCGACCGATCCAGTCAGAGGAAACCAGTAGGAACTGAAACACCACCTTAAAACGTTTTCATATATATTGAATTGATTTGGAGTCAATGTAGTTTCCTTATAATGTGATTGACTCATTTTAAGTGAGCCCGCAAACATTATTTTCATTCCGAGAGTAGAATATTCTTCTTCTAAAACCTGATTATACACTTGCAGTAATGGTAGCAAAATTGCCCAAAGTGAGGATAAAAACCTGAAATTTTGGTATTCTTACCTACTGTAAAGTAGTTTCCTGAATAATTTGACAAAACTGAAATATTTCAGTTTTGTTGACTCGATGCCTTAAGTTCCTGTCACAGTTCCAAATTTATACTATTACAATCCTATTTCGTCTTCTTCTCGGGCATTGATTCAACAAAACTAAAGTATTTCAGTTCTTTTAATGAATACCTTTACTATTTTGTCAGCTTTGTCTTGGTTCAACTAATACGAAACTGTTTTCTTTATAAAGAGACTGGCAGACAGTTCATAGTCGAATTTTACATAATTAATGAGTTCATGACTCGCGCCTAAGGTACTTGCACTCATACCAAAAACCTGAGGCGATACAAAAAGACCTCGGAGATACAAGGTTCAAATGAATAAGGCAAGTTACACTGGAAATAATGGCAGAAGTAAACTTTTCTGACGTTGCTGGAAAACAAGGAGAAACGTTTGCACAAAAGCGATGCGTTGGAGGAAGGATAGATGAATTACACAACCAAATAATCATTCTATCTTCAATCAACATTTTTCTGTCCATTACTGCATTTCTTGGGAACACCCTGATCCTAGTCGCCCTTCATAAGGAGTCTTCCCTTCATCCACCATCCAAACTTATGTATCGCTGCCTAGCAACAACTGATCTCTGTGTTGGTATAATTTTAGAGCCTACCGCCGTAATCTATTGGTTGTCCTTGCTTCAAGAAGATTGGAATCTTTGTATCTATGCGGTAACTGTTAATTTCATAAGAGCCTATACCCTGTCAGCAGTCTCTCTCTTCACAATAACCACAATTAGTGTGGACAGACTTCTCGCCCTGATTTTGGGGCTGAGATACAGGCAAATAGTGACTTTGAAGCGAACCTATTTGCTTCTTATCGTATTTTGGATTATTGGGGTCTTTGTGGGGGCATCGTACTTTATGAATCCTCATATAGCTGTTTGGTGTAGCTATATTGTTATACCTCTTTGTCTAGTAATAGCTTCGTTCTCGTACTTAAAAATTTTCCATCGTCTCCACCACGACCAAAGGTCTGTTCCATCACAGCAAGTTCTCCAACAGCCAAGCCAACCAGCTCCACTGAACCCGGAGCGATACAAAAAGGCAGTGTACAATGCACTGTGGGTGCATTTGGCATTGGTCGTTTGTTATCTACCGTACATCATAGTCGTAGCAGTTCTAGATAAGAAAAGGCCTTCATCTAACGCTGAATTTGTTCTCTTTGAGTGTGTTGAGACTTTAGTCCTCTTAAACTCTTCGTTGAACCCATTTCTTTACTGTTGGAAGATTGGAGAAGTAAGACAAGCAGTAAAGGAATCTATCAGACAAGCACTTTGCTGTCCATGGAATGGAATGTAACTTTGGGCAAGTTCTGACAGTGCTACCGTTCAAAGCAAGAGAACAAGCTGTAAATTGTTCTAAGAATATTTGTGTCCAGAATAAAACGTTTAAAATCCTCGTATGCATACAACTGCCATTTTAAAGGACATAGGAAATATTACCCGAAAAGGTCCTGTTGTATTCGGTGAAACAACCATGTAAATGCAGATTTAGAAAAACCTATGAGAAAGGTTGTACATAAGAAATAACTCTGTTAATTGTCGATTTTTTATTTCTTTGTTTTAAACTAGTAAGTGGGTCTTTTTTATGATAACTATTTACAGATCTTCCCTATCGCCGATAAAAACGGGATTGAGTTCCTTTTGAAGTATTACCCGATTCTTTTTTTTTTTCCTTTGTGATCTCCTTTCCGTCACTAGTTTTCTTAAGTAATTGGTTTTTTAGTTGATACACTTCATACATTACACTAGAAACGTAGGATATTCCAAAATCAATCGGTACAAGGGAATCATTTAAAAAACAGGAAGAATTACATGTAGGAAAACCCTCATGTAATAAGTAAATACAAGAATATTTTTCAATGACCTGTTATTTATGCTCGAGTTTCGTTGAAAAGAAGCTTCACCTTCTTTCAATGAGTAGATTATTCGGCCCAAATGTTTACGTCAAAAAACTTTTTGTTTTGATATACATACTTTTTATACTTTTTGTCAATAATTTTACTCACATCAGATCTTAAAGTTAGAAATTCCTCCTTCACCTTTATCGCCGATTAACATCAACTAAAGTGTCTATAACTAAATGCTATTAGGATAATTTGATCGATGTAGAGGCATCTTGACAACTTCACAATATGCATCATTCAAAACTCCCCTATGGAATGAAAACGACCATAAAAGGTGTTCGGGTGATTTAGAACGAAACTACAACATTAATGAAATCGAAAAAATTCTCAACATGCTAAGAACTCAAAGTTTTTGCCAAGCCGTCTATGACACATGCAAGACTTTATAGCAAGTTTGTCTTGCGAGTTTATTTCCAATTCTATTCTGTCAAATGATCTTCATTGTATTTTCTCGCAAACTTCTTATATCGCGTGATATCTCAGTGTTTTTGAATCAGTGGCTCAGCTCCTGCCACAGCGTCAAATTTATACTAAATTATGTGTATTGTTTTTTTCTTTGGCATTGACTCAACAAAACTGAAATTTTTTAGTTTGTTAAAAAAATGCGTTCAGCTTCTGTCACAACATTAAATGTAGAATACAATGTTTGTATTGTTGAAATATTGTAAGGGGTCTGAAAATGCATCAATTATAATTAACGGCCCAAAGTATCTCGATAAAACCGAAACCCTGCTGTCGTGCGAAACATTTATCATCGGAGATACGTTGCTCCGGTCAATACAAGTGCTATCCCGTTTATTTGCTGCTGTTCGGCAAGAAACCCTTCTTCGAAAGCAGAGAACGTGCACAAAATTTCCAAATTGCCTTATTACATGAATTTCTCTACTCCATGGAGAATGGAGCCTTTGTTTCTACTGTTATGGATAATGACCGTAAAAATAAGTTTCTTGAAATTACTAGAATATTGAGAGAGCTCCTGTTGAAGATTCCTCATTTTAAGGAGATTTGGAGACAACCGTGAGATTGTGTCACTGGTGAACTAAATTTAAGTCTGAACTGGGCTTTCACGAGTTTATTAATGACAAATACTTTCTTGCCTTTAGAAGTCGCCCCTTAGTAAGAATATTTCATGTTTCTTAAAAAATCGTGCTGCTCCCTTTGCCTTCATCACAGCTGGGACGACTTCCTTGAAGACATGGTCAACCGACCGCAAACGATATATAGCTTAGGTGTAATGATATTTCTCTCAGTATAAATGAGATATCCCTAGGGAGCAGCGATGTCTCGTTGGATGTAAACGATATATCAGGAAGGCGAAAACTGTATATCGTTGAACTGCAGCGATGTATCGCTGAACTCAAACGACATATCGCTGAGCTCAAACGATGATTCGCGAGGAGCTCAACGATATATCGGTCATTCTTAACTATTAAACAAAGCCTATTGTAATCAAAGTTGATCCGCTATTCTTGCTTGATACGTTAGCACAAATGCTGTCGTGTGTATATGCAGTTGTATCGAAATAATCTTTCCTTATTTCTATTCATGCTACAGCTCGAAAGGAAATTTCTGTTTCTTGCAGTAAGAAGCAAAAGATGAAGAGTTCGTCCAGCAGTTATTGCTTTATTGGATATCATTAGGTGTAGAAGAGACCTTACTTTGCTGAAAAAGAAATTAAAACGTTGTACATATATTTTATGTCATTAAATTGCTTTATTCTAAGTAATAAAGTTGTAAATTGCTCCTTTACCCATATTTTCGTTTTAAAATTATCTGAGGTGTCCACAACCAAATGCCATTGAAATCTCTGAAAACTGATCTCTACACCAATGTGCGACATGCACGAGATGTGAAATTCGGGTGTGAACGAAATATTTTGGCCTTCTAAACGACGCATTTTCAAAATCCTTGTAAACATTCCTGCACTCATCTGTCATAACAGAAAAGATGAAGAAGGATACGAATATTTTTTAGTCCATTCTAACATATAAAAGATATTTCCGTTTTGATGAATCGACGACTTCAATTCCTGTCACAGCCCCAAATATACATTATAACATTCTAATTTTTTTCTTCGTCATTAACATTGATTAAAAAACTGAAACATTTCAAAGATTTAGTAATACATAGACAGGTAAAAACGAACGATATAAAATCCCAACGTTTCGGCGACTTCATGACGCCATTATCAAGGGTACAAATGAAAATAAAATTAACAAATGCGTCAACGAGATGCTTTACATCAAACAATTAACACAGAGTTTGAACGTGCAAACGGATTCTATCCGTGCTTAAGTATTTGTGTAGCTACCTCCCCAATGCAAATTATTTGTAACTCTTGAACTCGCATTGTTAATTTTATTTTCATTTGTACCCTTGATAATGGCGTCATGAAGTCGCCGAAACGTCGGGATTTTATATCGTTCGTTTTTACCTGTCTATGAAACATTTCAGTTTTTTTAATGAATGTCTTCAGCATATGTCACAACGTGGAATATAGAAAATATTCGTATTTTCTTTGTCTTTAGAATTCAACTGATACGAAACCGTTTTCTCTATAAATAGAAGGACAGACAATCTATTGTCGAATTTTGCATAATTAACGAATTATGACCCGCCTGGATGCGTAATGTACATTTATACCATGTACATTCATAGGCAATCCTCGCAGATTCAAGGTACAAATATATAAGGCAAGTTGCACTGGAAATGATGACACAAATAAATCTTTTTGATGTTGCTGAAAACAAAGAGAAACATGCACAACAGCGATGCGTGGAAGGAAGGACAGAAAAAAAACAATCAAGTAGTAATTCTCTCATCAATCAACATTTTTCTATCCATTTTACCGCATTTCTTGGCAACACTCTGATCTTGATTGCCCTTCATTTTAGAGCCTGTTGCCGTTATCTATATTGGTTGTCCTTGCTTCACGAAGATTGGAATCTTTGTTTCTTTGTGGTAACTTTTTTTTATAACAGCCTATACCCTGTCATCAGTCTCTCTTCACAATAACCACAATTAATGTGGACAGACTTCTCGCCCTGTTTTACGGGCTTAGATTCCGACAAGTTGTGACTTTGAAGCGAACCTATTTGCTTCTTATTATATTTTGGATTGTTGAAATCTTTGCGGGGGCATCGCACTTTATGAATCTCCATATAGCTGTCTGGTGTAGCTATATCATTATATCACTTTGTCTGGTAACAGCTTCGTTCCCGTACTTGAAAATTTCCCATTGTCTCCGCCACTGCCAAAGGTCTGTTCCATCACAGCAAGTTGTCCAACAGCCGAGCATACCAGCTCCACTGAACCTGGTGCGATACAGAAGGGCAGTATATAGTGCACAGTTTTTTTTTTTTGTTTTTTTGTTTTTTTTTTCAGGTTGATTTTCGCTATTGCTTAAATAGCGCTATCTACTGCGAGGATCGTGCATCATACGTATCTAATACCGCAGTTCAAAATATATGAACTTCATATATTTCATTGTATCTGATTTATCACTTTCACGGGTTTATTACGAATTAACTTAACGGCCTGCTCCCAGTTGGCTTGTTAGCTCAATTGGTAGAGCGCTGCACTAGTATCGCAGAGGTCAGTGGTTCGAATCCCGTACAGGCCTGATTTTTTTCAGGTCTGATTTTCGCTATTGCTTAAATAGCGCTATCTACTGCGAGGATCGTGCATCATACGTAATGTCCTATTCTTCACAGTCAAATTCTCTTCAAAACTTTTTCCTGTCTGAAAATGCATTGTTGATAGGCCTTAGACATTTCAAAAAAAACAAAAAACCCTCTTTCGCGCAAATCAATAATCATACTTTGTTCCCAGCACTCGAAGCAAAACCTATCGCATGTATATACAGCTGTCTCGAAAGAATCCTCCCTTTTAAAGTTTATGGCTTTAACAAAATTTACACTTTTTTTTTCACAAGTCATATTAGTAGGCGGTCACTTAGAGGAAGCCTACTTGATGGAAACAGAGTTAATAGTCTAAAATAACTTCGAAATCGTCTCCCCATAGCAAGAGATCGTCTACTCCATCCGCCACTTGTTTTGAATGTGTGCACCTTCGCGATCACGTGACTTGTACCTTCAACCTCAGAGGGCTCCTATTGTTCTTATCGTCTGAAGTTCGCCGGCTTTCATAACCAGTTCCCTCTATTAACTCTGATGGAAAGCATTAATTTTAGGATTTCAGGTACTCTTCGGAAACGACGTCATAACTTTTGCAAAAGAAACATGAAACCTCTTCACTGATGTGTATCCGTCTTTTTAACGAGTAAACTGGCAGTATACTTGTCAAAATGTATTATATTTGACGAGATCATCTTCATGTCCTATTCTTTTCCGTTAAATTGTCTGCATGATTTGTTCCTGTAAATTAAACTGTTTATGTCACTAAATTGCAATTAAATATTCCACATCTAAATTTCAGTTTTACAGAATTTATACTTTTGTTTTTCAACAGATCGTCAAATTTATGCAAAAAAATTGGCTGATTTTTTTTCTCTGTTCTTTCTATTATGGAAAAAATATAGACGAATGCAGTAGTATTATAGAATTCCTGAAAATACTTTGTTTTTAGGCCTAAGACATTTCAAGTAAACGAAGAAAAACCGCTTACGCGCAAAACATTTATCATACTTTGGCGATAGGGTTTTCTTTCTCATGTCATGATGAGCGGCAAAAGCCTTTATCTTAAAAGAGTTTTTGATTCTTGTCGTTTGCTCCTAAAAGCGAATAATTTTCCTTCCGAAGGAAATGTTCTTCGCAGTTTTTTCCACTGATAATTTGGTGTTTCGAAAATATGGGTAGTACTTTACCCCAGAGTTGAATTTAAAAAAGATAGAACTAGATGATTTGAAAGGCTTGTGGTTCTTTTTCTCCTTGTTAACGTTCTGAGCACCGGTTAGTCCCCGGGGGTCCGTACCAGGTGAGGAACACATTTAACACTAAATGTGTTCCAAACAAGTTAACAGTTAGTTGTTTTCCTGCTAACATCTCAGTGTTAAATGAGTATTGATTTTGGCATTCGGCCATCTGACAATGAGATAAATTTTACACGACACATAATTTCATTCCTGTAACTTATGTTGTAAGTAGAACAAGCAATTCTCGACATTATGAAGGAAAGCTGCTTACGAAATAATTTTCAAGATATTTTGCATTAAAAACTTCAAATCATGGGGAAACATAACGTAGAATTGATGAATGTTTGCAAAGTGTGTCTGCTATTACCATTTCGTTTTTGTTATTCATTAAAACGAGAATGTTGGATATTTGTTTATTATTTTTTTTCCATTTTTTTCCTTTTTACCCCCTTTTTAGTCATGGGTACGCGAAGCGTACAAACGATTATTAGAATGGGGCAGAATATGCAAATATGTCAAACACTCAGATGTAAAAAAATCGATATGTCGACGGTAGATCAATATTGATAGCGACCTTCCAAAATTATACGGGAACGCCTCGATCACATTTCCGAAATGATGTTGCGACGTTAAAATTTAACTCGACCTTTCTTCGAAGGAGTTTCGATTTTTTAAATAAAATACTCGTCGCAGTTAGCACATGTGTAACCGAATTAAGGCAGTTTAAAAGGTGAAGAGTTCGTAACACACACAAAAGCTGCCTTTTTTCAATATACGATGGCTTGAAATTCTATTTGAGAACGATTGTGGCCGCTTTTTTAAAAAACAGAATTCAGTGGCCACTTTGTTAAAAACAAAATATGCGAAGAAACGGGCAAGGGATATTCCGAAATAGTGCAAATGATCATGAAAGTGATTGCTAAAAAGCGATTGCGTGACACTCGGTAAGTTGTAAGATGACATATGTTATCATGTATCAGACGAAATAACAGTTTTCAAAATTTCCAGCTTGCATTCTGTACCCAATCTGCAGTCTGCAGTCTGTATTTTGTACGGACCGATTGCTAAAATATGAACTCTAACCATTCACCCAACATCACCTCAGCAGTTCAAAGTAATACTAAGTAGTTTCAACTGTATCCGGGAGTCACTTAGTGGAATTTGATTATCTTCAAAACTCATTCAAACGCAAGCTACCCACGACATATTCACAGTTTCCTTTGATTTTCGCTTTTCACTCAATTTTTGCTAACAATCTGGTAGAAAATCAGTTTCAAGTTTTTATAAATGAGCAGAAATAAAAAGATCTAGATTGGCTGTAAAAATTTCTCTTAAAAAATAAGTCGTTTCCAGTTTTATTTCAATTTGATAAGTTCTATGCGAATAGAATCGAGAAAATATTGATCCCATGTTTCAATTCTTATGTAGATTATCCTATAAATATCCTGGCTGGCTAGAGGTGCCTTCATCTTTCAAAAAAAAAAAAAATCTTATCACACACTTTCTTATTCTTGAAACAAATTTATAGTTTGTTTTCTGTAGTGACTCCAAGCATAGAACACTCTCTTTTAAATACTTGATTACCTACTTGTAGTTATGGTCGCAAAGTTTAAGGAACCTGAGAATAATCGAAATTTGGATATCGTTATCTACTGTCGAGTACCTAATTGAATAACTGGTGTTTTGTTCTTTCATTCCGAGACCTTGTTTAAGTATTTGTGTAAAATCAGGAAAAAGAACTCGCGGAGTCACAGACAGTCTGAAAACCATGTCCTGCAAGAGCGAATCAACGAACTTATCCGTGCTGAACAAATCCGTGCAGTTAATGAAAGGCCAGTAGTTATCACACCGGTTCGAAGAGGTGGTGGGATACTGTTAATATGATCACTGGTAGACAGGCTCGCAATGCACCTGTCAGCTCTACTATTGCCGGACCCGAAAACAATTAACTCATATTTCCAGTCTATCAACATTGATGATCAGTACTCCTCACCCGAAGTCCTTTCCATTCCGGATGGCACTTGTATTCCTACAATTGAGGCGCATACTGTATGCAAGTTTCTGAGTACGTTAAAGCGCACTGCTTCAGGTCCTGATGAACTTCCGTTCTGGATCTGGAGGGATTATGCCTATCAACTTGCGCCAACAATCACCGAAGTATTTAACTCCCCAGCTCTCTCAAGAAACAGTTGGTCCCCTGTTTGTGGAAGCCAGCTAATATTACACCTATTCCCAAAGAGACTCCCTTCGAAACATGTAATCAGCTTAGACCAATTTCCTTAAAAAACGTTATTATGAGACTCTTTGAAAGAGTGGTTGTAAAGCAAGAGCTGTCTCCTGTATTGAGGTCTGTTAGTGGCCCAGACCAGTTTCCCTATAAAAAAGGATGCAACACAACCTTGGCACTCCTTATTTGTCATCATCATTGGCTTAAGTGGTTGAAGTGGTTGTAAGAGTTTTCTCCTTTGATTTCAGTAAAGCTTTTGACAGTGTTTCACATGCTATTGTTTGCAATAAGTTAATGTCACTTAATATTAATCCTTATGTTTTAAATCGAATTGTTAGTTTTCTTAACAATAAGAAACAGAGTGTAGTCGTGGACGGCTTTGTCACCGAATTTGTTAGCATTAACAGAGGCGTACCACAAGGTACGGTCCTCGGGCCTATATTGTTCTCTATTATGGTAAACGATATAAGATTGGTCTATCCGAAGCGCAATTTATTGCTCAAATATGCTGACGATCTTACACTAAGTGTACTTGTGCCCGCACATCAAGATCACTCCCTTATTGAGGTTGACAGCATTCAACACTGGGCGGTAAGAAACCGTATGAAACTAAACCTCACTAAGACCTGGGAGATGGTGGTGCATGGTAGAATTTCCAAACCACTGCCACCTCTGGTACAGGGGATTGAAAGGAAAAGCTGGTTGAAATTGCATGGCATAATTTTCCAGGAAAATCCATCAGACTGGGACTTTCATGTTGACAATTTGCTACGCAAAGCTAGTAGTCGTTTATATATTCTACGCGTTTGTAAATATTTTGGATATCCTAAAGAGCAATTGACTAAATTATTTGATCTCTTAATTATGTTCCTGTTTTTATATGGAATTGAGATTTGGGGAGCGGTATATCAAGATAAATACCTTTATCGCATTGATAGGTTTTTTAAGCGAGCGTTTAGGTTTTCTTATACCAACAACCTGTATGTAATAGCTGAAGTTATAAGAAATCGAGACTGCAAGCTATGGAACATCATCACAGATACTCCTTCCCACCCCCTTTATCAATTATTACCTCCTAAGAAACAGAGATTTTTGCGAAATAGAGGACATGAAATAACTCAATGAAATAGAGGACACCTTTATTAATAGGTGTCTTTTCAATTTTATTTAATTGTTCATGACATTAAATTAATTGAAAGATTGTGTTGTCATGTTTGTAAAGTCACACGTATGTTGTGACTACCTGACTATGGATAATGAATGAAGACTCTGCTCTGATTAAGAGACCTCGAGGTCGTTTTGTGAATAAATAATTTTTCAAGCACTCAGCGCCGTCTATGTCTACTGTACTACCTAAAACACGCACCTTGTATAGTGCTTCAGTTAAAACGCTTATCAATTTACCTCAATGAGTCTAAACTCATTATTGATATATAAAATGAGTGAATTCCAAACCAGTCGTATCCTTCTTATCTTCGCGTGAGGTCCCTTGGGGCCTTTAGTCAATAATTCAAAGCATGCGAAAACAGAATACATAATATTGAGCACTAGACATGGAAAACCGTTTTTTAGGTTTGAATACATTAGTTTTTCTATTTCCTCCTGGCTTGCAAATCCCTGGAGTAGTTCACAAGGTATTTACATTCATGTATATTTCGTGTCCTGCAGAAAGCCCACTCAGTTTTCTGTTTAAAAAGAAAAAAATTAATTCTTCTTTCTAGTACACAAGAAGTTTGTCTTCTTTACTGCATCGCACTGTGTACAAACTGTCATGATAATTAATAAAAGCCTCAAGATGCTTTGTTTCTATTTGCATTATTTGCTCGCTCTATTGTCAGGGAAACTTGCTAAATTTAAAATTGCAAGTTACCCTATTTCTAAAAGCTGATTGGAATAAAGCAGACTTGGAAGCTCTAAGTCTGTGTGAAAGTCCAAAACAAAATATTTCCAGCTCTTTTTAAAAAATTTTGGGGAACTCAATTATTTGTCAAGACAAATAATTGAATTCCCCAAAATTTGCATATGCCACCCTTAACTCTAATTTTCGTGCATTAAAGTTAAGAAAAAAAGTACTTTGCAATATGATTTTCTGGATAGAAAAATTTTCACTGATACTTCAATGACTTCTTTGATGCAAGAACCAAATGGATGGACTACAAAAAAAATTTAACAAGTACAACGCGTGGTTAACCATTTTGGAATACTCTTGTGTAATAATCACATGTTCGGCAGCTGTTGAGCCACCATCAGAAATAGAATTGCAATTGGCATACAAATTGAGACCAAAACCTGAGGCGATCCTAAGAGATACCTTACATCTTCTTGAAGATGATATAAACGCTCGCATTTAAATGGAAATCATGATGCAAGCAAACCTCTCTGCGAATGTAGGAAAACAAACTGAAAGTCTCCTTCAGCTGAGATGCGTGGCAGAATTGACAGATGGAGTACACAAACAGTTAATATTTCTCGCAGTGATAAACATTTTTCTCTCCATTACTGCGTTTCTTGGGAACACTCTGATCCTTGTCGCTCTCTACAAGGAAAGTTCCCTTCATCCGCCATCCAAACTCCTGTATCGATGTCTGGCAACAACAGATCTTTGCGTTGGCCTCATAACTGAGCCTTTTCAAGTCGCTTACATTTTTTCACTAGTTCAGGGGGACTGGAAACTTTGTCGCCTCGCATTAACCACAGCTTTTTTAACGGGCTACTCTCTTTCTTCAGTCTCTCTGTTAACAATGACAGCGATAAGTGTGGACAGACTTCTCGCCCTCTTGTTGGGTCTGAGATACAGACAAGTTGTGACGCTGAAGCGGACATATGTACTAGTAATCATACTGTGGGTTAAGTCAATGGTCGCTGGGACATCGTTCTTTATAAATCATCGTATAGCTGTCTGGTTTCGCTATATCATTGTACCACTTTGTCTTGTAACGTCAGCGATTTCCTACACAAAAATTTTCTGGACTCTCTACCATAACCAAAATCAAGTGCAAGTGCATGTTCTACAGCAGCCGAGCCAACCAGCTCCACTGAACATGGCGCGATACAGAAAGGCAGTCTACAGTGCACTGTGGGTGCAGTTGGTATTAGTCGTTTGTTATTTGCCGTTCACAATAGCCGCAACCGTTCTTCCAAGCAACAGATTATCTTCATCACAATTTATAGTGCAGACCTATACAGTGACCCTAATTCATCTAAATTCTTCACTCAACCCGTTGCTTTATTGTAGGAGGATCAGTGGAGTGAGACAAGCAGTGAAAGAAGTCATCAGGCACGCTCTTTGTTGTCCTCGCGAGTAGGGTATAAATGGGTCTCAGAGCTGGCCGCATGCTAACTATAGACCTTTTTTTTTTCCATTGCTCTCCGCTGTTTCTGAAGTTTTCCAAAACCGAAGAAACCTTCAATCGTGAAAGATCAACTTTAACAGAAAACCGAGAAAAGCTTAAATTACTATTAGTTTTAATTCATTCAAATAGAATTATGAATTTCAATGTTCTTTCTATTTTCCCTAGAACTTTCCTAACACTTCGGTTGAATGCAAATGTTTGAGGCTCGTGTGGATGAAAAGAGAAAGAGTCGCTTCTTTTTCTCAGTGTGTATGATCTGCACTATTATTTATTAACCCTATGTAAATTGAAAGTCTAATTGCTGATTTAAAATAAGTTTTCTTTATTCAAATCCTTTATCAAAGAGAAACGCTAAAGTAGAGCTCGTTTTCTATTGCATAATGGATTTGGACCCCTCGAAGATTTAAACCTCCGATGCAAGTCCACCAACAGATGTAAACACCCCTTCGTAGATTTAAACTTCCTACCAAACTTCCCTTTAAGCGTTGTTTGTATCATATAGCCCTAACCCTAACCCTAAACCCTAAAACCTAATCCTAACCCTAAAACCCTAACCTCAATCCTAACCCTAACCCTAAACCCTAGACCTTAACCTTCATCGCTTTCGCCTAGAAATGTAAGGAACAATGTTTTCACTAGGTTTTGTTGGGTGTCCAAATCCGTAGACGGGGCGGATTTGGACCGGGGCTCCACAGAATATTGACCATGATTGGGTGATTTCAGTCATTTGAGTCATTTGGATCGTTTAAAGAAATTAAGCTTTTGGGTCATTAAGCGGATTGAGTCATTTCAGGCAGCTGGGTCACTTGCATTAATTGGGTCATTTTCGCCGATGGCCACATGTTAGGTTTTGCTGTTTCAGAAAGTGAATGTCCTTTGAAATGATTGAGTCCTCTGAAACAGATCACTGGAACCAATTTGGTCCTTTGAGGCAATTCAGTCACTTTAGCTGGCTGGATCATTTGAGACAATTCAGTTATTTGAGCCGGTTAGGACAAATGAGGCTGCTGGGTCATTAGAACTGATGGATCCTTTGAGGCAACTAAGTCATTTGGACTGGTTGGTTCATTTAAGGAAATTAGCTTCAATTGACTGATTCGTTCATTTGAGGCAATTCAATCATTTGAGCTGCTTCGGTACGCGGTCATCTGAGGCAATTCATTCATTTGAGCTGGTTGGGTCATTTGAGGCAACTCAATCATTTGAGCTGGTTTGGTCCTTTGAGGCAACTCAGTCATTTGAGCTGGTTTGGTCATTTGAGACAATTCAGTCATTTGAGCTCCTTGGGTCATTTGAGGCAATTGAGCTTTTTACACACTTTTACACACTTTATTTTTCTTTTTCTTACAAAATGATTTAGATTATGTTGACCCGCAGATAGCAAATTTGCTATTCGAGGCGGGTCAATCATCAACAAACATTATTTACAATATATAAAGAAAATTAAAAACTAAATAATTAGATATTGTTAAATTATAAAAAGAAGCATAGCTGGCAAATACATCAATAGTTGTTCAATAAAGTATAGAAGCAAATACATTAGTACTGAAAGCAATCGGATCAATTTGTTTTAATTATGCAGTCCTTAAGTTTAGAGGAGATCTTTTCAACATCAAGATAAGAATCTTCATTATCTAGTATCTGAAATAAAGACGTTTTAATTTGTTTATTAAAGGAATGTTTTGATAACGTTTTGAATTCTTTCGGTATCTTATTCCAAATTTTGACACCAACACGCGAGAAAGCCTTTTTTTGTAGGTTAAGTCTAGAGTACTTTGTACTAAAGAGCTGCGATTTGGATGATCGAGTATTGTAGGTATGAATATGAGATGTTTTAGTAAATAGTTTCAAAATATTAATGGGAGCCCTCTGGTTGTGCACGTCAAACATAAGTTTACTTACGGCTTCATAATATAGGAACGTAACAGGCAGAATTTTTGCTTTGGCAAATAAAGGGATGGCATGCTCTCTTCGATCGGTGAAATAGATTAAGCGCAAAACTCGCTTTTGAAGAACTAAAATCTTGTTTAAATAAGCATTTGACGCATTGCCCCAGGCAAGGAGTCCATAAGTTATATAAGGTAGAATTAATGAATTGTAAATATTTACAAGGATAGTAGAGGGAACGAAGTACCTCAGCTTTGCAATCATCCCTATTGTTTTACTTATTTTTACGATAACAGAGTCAACATGGTTTTTCCATGACAAATTTTGATCAATTAAAACGCCTAGATATTTGATATAACTTTTTTGCTCTAAACTAACTCTTCGGTTTGTCTCACAATCTAAAATACCTATTTGTGGAGAAAAATGCATTTTTTTCTGATGAGGACGAAAAATTAAGAAATTTGATTTTTTTGTATTCAATGTCAACCTATTTGTAGTTAACCAGTCATGTACGTTATTCAACTCTACATTAACCGTTTGCTCGATCGCCTTAAGATTCTTATCAGCATAAAGTATATTAGTATCATCCGCAAAGAGATAAAATTTTAGTTTATCAGAACAAAGGTGAATGTCATTTATGTAAAGTAAAAATAGAAGAGGTCCAAGGACTGATCCCTGGGGGACACCACAGGGGGAGATAAGTTTTGTTGATAAATGCTCTCCAATCTGAATTGTTTGTGTTCTATTTTTTAAATATGATTGAAACCAGTCATTTATCAATCCACGGAAACCGTAAAAGTTCAATTTATCGAGTAATATTTCATGATTGACCGTATCAAATGCCTTTTTCAGGTCAATAAAGACACCGCATGAGAAGTACCGTTTATCCATATTACGTAGTATATCTTCGACAATATCAAGTACTGCATGCTCTGTGGAATGTGACTTGCGAAAGCCATACTGTGAGGAGTACAATAGGTTGTTTTTGTCAATAAATTCCTTCATCCGGAAGTACAAAAGTTTTTCAAAAATCCTATTAAAATTAGACAAAAGAGATATTGGTCGATAGTTTGAAGGGTCGGTCTCGTCGTCACTTTTATATATTGGCGTTATTGGTTTATATATACTTTTATATATTGGCGTTTATTATATATTGGCGTTATCGAGCTGGTTGGGTCATTTAAGGAAATTAGCTTTAAATGACTGATTGGTTCATTTGAGGCAATTCAATCATTTGAGCTGGTTGGGTCATTTAAGGAAATTAGCTTTAATTGACTGATTGGTTCATTTGAGGCAATTCAATCATTTGAGCTGCTTTGGTCATCTGAGGCAATTCAGTCATTTGAACTGGCTGGATCATTCGAGGCAATTCAGACGTTTGAGCTCCTTGGGTCATTGAGGCATTTAGCTGGTTGGATCATTTGATAGAAATTTTGAGTTTGAGTTAAAAAAATTCCAGTTTGAGTATGAAATTTGGAGTTTGAGTGAGAATTGAAATTTTTTATCTCTTGTTAAAGTTTTAGGTTTTTGTTTAAACATCGAGTTGGAAAGAATGGAAGAAGCTGAAAAGTCACAAATTTCGTGATTGAGGATGGAAAAAAGAAAAAGGAAAAGAAAACCCCATACCACAGGGAAGCATATTCCCAGTTGATCACCCATAGTGTAATTCGTATTACACTATGAAAGCTAACCACAAGGAAACTAGGGTGAAACTAGGTGAACGCAAACTCAAACTTCCAATCTTAACTTAGACTCATAACTCATACTCATGAAATGAATATGTGAATACTGTTAACTTTGGAAAAGATTTCTGCACTGGTGTTCATAATAATTAGCAAGGTTCAACTGTTTTTAGTTTGTTATCGCAAGAATTGTTTCTCTCTTGTGAGTTGTTTCTCCTGATGCACAAACCGACTTAATTCTCTGAATTGGAATGAAACATGCTGGTCCAAATAAGTCAAATGTGTTACACCAGAGTTCAACAGGAAGTCCATACACATACCGTTCAGGGTGTTTAGAAAACCAGTTCGCCTGAGCAGGGTAAAATTCATATCTTTTGTCAGGTGAATAAGCTGACTTTGATTTCACTTTGAAACAATGGCGGAAAAATTTTAACACTTGTCCTGGTCTTGCATCCTGTGGTACAAGCAACTGACCAATCAGGTCCTGCCCAGTTAGCTAGGACAGTAGCATTCCTTGACGTCTGGCATTGCAGTGAACCATAGCTCACGGACCCGACTTTTACAGCTTCAAATTCTGTGATAGTGTAGGGCATGTCAATGACAGTTATATCATCCAATCCCAAAAGCTCTTGGTAAACTGATCTCAGCACACTCAAATCTTCACTGTCTAGGGCTCCGTCTTTTGGTGTTGACATTGGAAAAATACAATTCTTTCCAGCAGTCCAGTCACAACAATTTAAATGTTGAACTGATACATCTCTGTGCTCTTGAAGACTTAAGTACTGTTCTGTTGGCTCCTGAGTAACTTTGACTGACCCTGAACTCTGGTAAGTGTAAAAAAACTCCATAAATGAATCGTGATACATCTCAGGTAGCTGAGGTCTTTCACCTTAGTTTGCATCAAAAACTTCCTTATTAGCTGAATTGAATTTCAATGGTACGATTATTTGTGTGATAAGAACCCAGAATACCATTAAACCTTTCAAAACTGAAACACCAGAAGGAATGAAATGGACCATTATCTAGTAAGCACTCCTTTAAAGGGCCATGTAGAAGCATGTTAGGAGTGACAAGATCCTCTCCATACAATGTCTCAAATGTTTGCAAAATTGTATCAGATATTTGTCTCCAATTTCAATATCATTGCCAGTCAGAACTCTCTTACCTAGAGTCTTGCAGGAAGGACAAAGAAACGCCAACACTTCAGGTGCTCTTTAGGTAGAATTCCTTTCAGAGCAAAGAATGAATACACTAATATCCAATTTTTCCACTGATCTGCTGTGAATCCTGAGAAACTTGATGAAATCTTTCCGGGTATACGACCAATATCTTGAGGAACTGTCATAGAATCTACCAGCTCTTGGATTCTTCGAAGGTCCTCGT